TGTTCCCAGTCGTCTCATTTGTGATGTTTTGACAAATGCTATACACATATTACATTTCTGTATGTTATAGCCCCCAAATACAGTGTATACATATTACTTTATACCATTGCATTTTGAATAAACTTAGAAAGGAAAAAAAATAGGCACTTCTATGTCTTTTATAACTGTATAACTGCTTTTACTGAAGCTCTGTGTGTAGATTTGAATTACTATTTCATGTTGCTTTCAGCCTGAAGAATATTCTTTAGTATTTATTAGGTAGGTCTATTAACAAGTGTTTCTGTTTCTGTTAATCTGAGAAAGTCTATTTCGTTTTCATTTTTGAATAATATCTTTGCTAGATATAGAATTCTTAGCTGTTAGGTTTTTGTTTTTTTTTTCCTTTGAGCACTTTGAATGGTATCATTGCCTTCTGGCCTCCATTGTTTTTTCTGAGAAGTCAAGTGTTGATCTTGTTCCCCTCTAAGTGATTCATCTTTTTTCACTTGCTACTTTCAAGATTTTCTCCTTGTCTTTGATTTTAGCATTTTTACTATGATGTGTCTGTGGGTCCCTTTGCATTTATCATGCTTGGAGTTCACTAAGCTTCCTGGAAGCTCTTCAATAAATCTGACCATTATTTAAATGTTTTCTTCTCTTTCTCCTGTCCTTCTTATGCTCCTATTATGTACACACAATGGAGTCTTAATAGTGCATTTAATAATATCTCACATTTCTTTGCCTTGCCCATTTTTCTTCATTCTTTGTCCTCTTTTCCTCAAATAATACATATCTTTCAATCTATCTGCCAGGTAGCTGATAGTTCCTTCTGCTAGTTCAAATCTAATTGAGACCCCCTAGTGCATTTTTGTTATACTTTTTAATGCCATGAATTTAGTCCATGCCACTCAGAGCTGGAGGGGATGAGAAAGGCTGGCAGACTGTCCCTCCATTTCCCTGGACTGGGAACTTACCTGCATCCAACTGGATTGGAGCTTCTGTCATCACGCTGAGATGGAAGCAGTGAGGGAGAGAGTGGGTTGTGACCGAGATGCTGTTCTTACCGAGATTTGGATTTTCTTGAATAAACTTTACTTCATTTGCTATATGCTCTCAGGAGAATTTCCAGAGACATTAAATGTTTGTGTCTGTGTGTGAGAGGAAGGTGGTTTTTCATTTTTATTTTTTGCAATTTTCACCAGTTAGGGTTGATGCCTAGAGCATGGGTCCCTGAGGACCCTTACATTGCTATTCTGGAAGTGGAAGTCTAAAGAATGTTTAAATGTTGGAAAATTAACTGTGTACTTTACTACACTGAGAGAGATACTAAAAGAGAAAATGATACAATTCTATCAATAGATGCAGGAAAAGCATTTAATAAAACTCAGCACTGGATTCAGAATTGAAAAGAGCATTTCCTCAACCCGATAAAGAGCATCTACTAGAAAACAACAGCAACTGCATATTCAATAGTAGAACTTTACAAGTTTATCTTGAAAGTCAAGAACTGACAAAAATGTCAATTGTCACTATTTACATTCATCATCATATTTAAAATATTTAAAGTATCAGCACTGAAATGGAGGAACTACAACTGTTATTATTTGTGGTTGGCATGATTGTGATATACAGGGCAATTTACAGATTATTAGAAGAGTTCAGTGGAGCACAGCGCCACCTCCATGTCGTCCGGGGCCAGCGTGAACGCCCTGCAGCGCCTGGTGGAGCAGCTCAAGCTGGAGGCCAACATGGAGAGGTCTCCCAGGCGGCGGCAGAGCTCCAGTAGTACTGCATGCAGAAGGCCCCAGCTGAGAGCAACCCTTTCAAGAGCCCAGATGCTGTGCTCTACTCTAAAAACTTGGAAGAAGCTTGCTGAGGAGCACCTTCCAGCACAGTGAGGAATGACAGCCTCCAATTCCCAAGAAAACCCTTTCCCCTAGCCAAATAACTTTTAGATATTTCAGACCTTTGCTGTGGCCTGGTCCTGTAGCCAAAATTCTGCAGAAATTGAAGTTTCTACTCAAATAAGAAAACTGGCTGAAAGAGTGGTATTTTAAATAATAATGGCCTTTTTGTGTGTGTGAAGTGCTTTATACTTAAAACAAAAACCTTACCACCAAATATACCAGAATGCACCTCTTTCATAAGTGAGTTACTGATGTTTCAATACCTGGAATATTATGTAAGCTTTATTTACTTAATGTTTACATTTTAGGAAGAAAAACAGTTTTGTTTATGGAAAACCTGAATATTTGTAACTTATTCCTGACAAAAATTTTTATACCATAACAAAATTTGTTCTTTTCTCATAAATTTACAATTTCTAAATAAAAACAAGAAAGTAAAAACTGGCAGGAAAGAATAGGGTTTACTAATCAAATAATATCTTGATTTTCTAAAGAGAAGATTGTTTTATTTATTTATTTTTTTTGAGTTGGAGTCTCACTCTGTCGCCCGGACTGGAGTGCAGTGGCCACTCCCGGCCACCGCAGCCTCGACCTGCTGGGCTCTTGCGATCCTTCCACCTCAGCCTTCCAAGTAGCCGGAATTACAGGCATGCACTACCACGCCTGGCTGATTTTTTGATTTATTGTAGAGATGAGGTCTCGCTGCCCAGGCAGGTCTCGAACCCGCAGGCTCAGGCAATCCACTCACCTCAGCCTCCCAAAGGCGGGGGATTATGAGCTGAGCCACCGAGTCCAGCTTAGATTGTTTTATTTTTAACACTAAGCTTGGGAGCTGTTTCTTAGCAAACTTGTTTGGAGAAATTAATGTTAGGTTGTGTACTGGGTTGCCCCATCCTGTCGATGAATGGAGCAGATTCACTTTTGTATCCTTAAGTTCCTCTGCTATGTAGTTGTGGTTGTACTTTAAAAAATACTAATTATTTCATGTCTTTTAAAAAGCTTAAAATGTGACCCATAGAATATCATCAGTGGTGGAAAACAAAGTAATGTGAAAATATTACAACCAGAAATAATTCTTAATGTCACAAGTGTTTTACTTTGGTGATGTGCCTTTGATTTAATTTGGGACACTTTTAGAAGGATACTTTATTTGTATTTGTAATAATCTTTGAAGAGCTTGGAAATAAAGTTTCTGCTAAATTCATCATTTTTTATGACAGCAAAAAAAAAAAAACAAGAGTTCAGCAAGATTATTAAATACAAGATCAATATGTAAAAACAAACTTATGAACTAGAAATAAACTCATAAACTAGAATATGTGATTTTACAATATGTCATTTACTATAACATAAACTGTAGGACAGTTAGGAATAAAATTAAGAAGTGTATAATTGTATTATAAAATGTCTTTACAAATAAATATATATTATAAATAAATAGTGACATACCCCATTTATACATAATTCAATATCATAAACAATGATCTATACATTCATTATAATTGCAAAACCAAAATACAAATATGGTAAGATGATCCCAAATTTTACATGAAATAAAGGTCCATGAACATTTTTGGAAGATAAAGGAATCATTCTACCATTTGTGATTACCATTTATAAAGATACAATGGGGGGAGGCTATTTTTTATAGGTGCTAAGTAAACTAGCCATCCATATAAAATTAGCAAGATAATTTATGAGAATGTATTCATGACTTTAGTAAGGAAGACATTTCTTAAGGAAACAGAAAAAAACATGGAAAAATAGAATCTACTGTATCTAAAAACTTTTGTTTGATAAACAGCATTATTCTTTTTTGGTTTTTTTTTTGAGTTGGAGTCTCACTCTGTCACCTAGACTGGAGTGCAGTGGCATGCTCCCGGCCATCGTAGCCTCGACCTGCTGGGCTCTGGTGATCCTTCTGCCTCAGTCTTCCAGGTAGCTGGAACTATAGGTGTACGCTACCATGCACGGCTAATTTTTTATTTATTGTAGAGGCGAAGTCTTGCCAAGTTGCCCGGGTGGGTCTCGAACCCGCAGGCTCAGGCAACCCCCTTGCCTCGGCCTCCCAAAGTGCTGGGATTACAGGCTGAGCCACCAAGCCCAGCCCATGGATATTCTAATTATCCATACTTGTATATAAAAGTAAGAAGAAAAATTCCCAAAATCAAAAATCAATAAAATATCTAGGAATAAGCCTAATATAGGATGTGCAAGACTTTCATGAGGAAAGTTATTACAATTTTATTCAAGAGTACAAAAGATTTTAATAAAATGAGGTCTATCAGATACTAATGGGAAATATTATATTAATTATGAAGTCTACTAGCCTTTAATTAATCAAAAGAAAACACAATTTTACTGAAACTTAACAAACTGATACTTCAGTTCACCTGGAACAGAAAATGCACAAGAATAAGATACTGAAGACAGGGAGAAAAAGAAAAGGGACTTGCCCATAGATGCTAAAGCACAGTGCAAAGCCACACGACACCGCGAAAGAGTATGGCTGGTAGAAACAACACCTGGATCTGCTGGCCAGAAATAGACAACTTAGCATGTGATGAGTTGAAAGGTGGTATTTCAAATTGGTGGAGAACACAATTGACTATTTGTTAATAAAACAATTGCCTTTTTGTTTTTGTTTAGGGGAGCAACCCTAAAAGTTATAACTCATGGAAAAACTAGGCAACTATGGCACAAACAGGCAATGCACAGTAGAGACCTACAAATGGTCAATAAACATGGAAATGTTTGGTTTTATATATTTTAAAAAGCTAAGGAAATTCAACTTAAAACAAAGTATTTTTCTCACAAAATTGATCAGAAGAAAACAACCTACCACAACTGATACCACCTATTGTTGGCAAGGGTGTGGAGAAATTGGCCCTTTTATAAAGTGTGAATTGAAGGAAGCAATTTCACTATATCCTTTAACATTTAGAATCTAAATCGTTGTTAATCCAGCAATTCCATGAAGACAGAGTTACAGGAACAAAAAGGTCTCGTGCATAATGTTACATGAAAAAAATAAGGATTGCATGATCCCATTAATGTAAATTACATGCATAAAACAAACTAGTTGCTGTAATGGACAGACTTCAAGACAGTAGCTTAGACAAGTCAGTAATTTATTTTTCTTTTAAGTAACAGGTCAAAGGAAAAGCAGTTCAACCTCTCTGTCCTCAACACATGACTTCCATCTCTTGAGATTCCAGGTCACCGCTAAAGCTCTCACTGGTCTTTCAGCCAAAATGAAAAGGGGAACATCAAGGGCCTAACTGGGTAGTTTTACTCACATCCCATTGTCTAAAATTTAGCCACGTGGTCACAATTAACTGGAAGGGAGGCTAAGAAGTACAGTCTTTAGTTGAACAGCCATGTGTCTGGGCAAAACTCAGGGATTTTATTAGTACATAAGGGAAAAACAGACTTTATAGCAGCAGACTGTGTCAGTTGTTTTTGTAACAGCATACACACTAAATACATACTGTACTTAGCTCTGGAACAGAAGTAAAATTGGTGTGGAAGTGGGGAGGCAGAATATTGATTGAAATTTTTGAACAGTGATGGTACATTCATATACTAACTAGAGAATTTAAAACATTTGACAACATTTTAAAATCCTTTATTTGTATTGATATAACATGTTAAATACATTAAATCTATCTACAGTGTACAAAGCTTTTAAAGTTCAAAAAATTAGATTTTATTTGCACAAATAAGTTACCCCATTCAACTTACAGCATTGTCTCTAAGTCCTTCCATCCAGGACGCAAGATGACAATGTTTACAGCTCTTCACACTGAGATACAACCTACCCCAGGTCATAACATGTCAGTGGCAGAATTGAAACAAGAACTGGAAAGAACCTGGCTTCTACTGCATCGTAACTTTTGATGCAATAATTTTTACTTGAAGAGAGGGCTACACCTTCTCTAGGTCAAATATAGATATGATGCCCAGGCGTCTCACACTGGTTAACTGGGTCAGTACTTCACCCTGAGAACAAGGGGATACAATTTCCTTATAGGTCAATGAGTATTTTAAAAAATATAAAGAGCTCGCCAGGAACAAACTAATCATGAGTTCTGACTCCCTTCTGAGTCATGTACTCAAGTTTAAAACTTAATGATGTGTTTAAAAATCCCTTCTACGACTTCTAAATAATTATGACAATGTGATGAAAATAGTATCTTTCTCCCTAAACAGGAAAAAAACAAAAACAAAAACAAACTAGAATCCCAGAAAAGTAAAAAATTCTGACATAATCATACTCAGGGTAGGACATCTGTCTAAGGAAAGGATTCCTGGTCTAAGGCGGGGAAAACATCACAGCAGAGAAAGCAAAATCCATGTCCTTTCACCAAAGCTACAGCAGCCCAGCCATACCTCACTCTAAGAACTGTCCTCTCTGGGTGGTAAGGAAGAGCAAACAGAAGATCCAGACACAGCTGTCCACTTTTAGCATGAGCAAGATGTAAAGAAATGGCATGGAGGAAGGCAAGCATAACATAGAAAAACGTGAGAAGACAAACAGCAAGCCAGGGAACACAACTAAAAAAAAAAAAATGCATTGGAATGGCTAGAGAAGAAAGCCAAGGAATACAATGAATTTAAGAAAACAAGACTTCATAGACAAGATGATAAAATAACCATGAGAAGGATGAGAAGGAAACAAGATAAACAAGGTAAGACAATAAACTAAGGATCAAAGCAACATAATCATAGAACCATAAATACATAAATAACAGTCAGAAACAGAACAGCCTGAGCTGAAAACCGCACCGCAGACATAGGAAAGAGTGTCACAGTGAATGTAAAGGTAGGCGCAAGATGAAGGCACCTGGAGAGAAGATAACTGGGAGAGCAACGTGGCTCTGACAGGACACAATCAGCACCCTCAGCAGAGCCAGCTCCACAAGAAAACAACAAAAAGGGTCAAAGACGCCGACTGCAGGCTGAGAGAAGCCTGGTGATGTCACTTCCCAGTACCGATGGCTGTGTCTGGTTGTCGTCTGCAGTGATATTTGTGTGCATGCATGTGTATGGTTTTATGCACCTATTTTTGGTTCTGCTTGGATTTTCTAATATTTAACATTTAAAAAAAATCAATAGTCACTGTAGGCAGGACAAAAGATGTCCTATGCTTAAAGTAAAGCCAGGGTAAATGGAATACTCTACAACTTTCCACAACTACATGTTTTATAATTTATTACCACACTATTTCATGCTTTACTAGTAAACATACCTGTCAATTTAACAGTACCTTCAAAAGAAGATATTTTAAAGACAATAAGATTAACAAATTACAGATAACAAATCTACTTTTTTGGGGTAGCAAACAATAAATTTAAGTGTTTAAAGGTATGCATCAAAATAATGCTGTTATCAGACACTGATTAACTAATTTATTGAACGGGTCTGACCAACTTAAGACCCACTTTTAGCACCAATAAAAATAATTCTTGAGATTTCTGTTCTGCATACTACTAAATGTGCTCCCTGACACTTACCTTTTGGGTAAAGGAACAAACGTGCTGCAAGGAGTAACTGTTAGATTCTTGGTTTTTTAACATAATCCAGAGTGACCAAAAAAAAAAAAAATCAATTCAAGTATTTTCTCTTTTAGTTAGCATTACTAAAACATTTAAGTTTCGGAGAAAAGCTTCGTCTTCTTTAAAGTTATGAGGTAGATGTCATGCAAAGTAAATATCAAGTGAAGACAACTTCCGTCAACAAACATAATTATTAATCATAGAATAATAATCGGGAATTTCTATTGGAAAAGGTGAGTTCAAAGTTTAGGAAACAATGGTGCTCAGCAGTATTCTGGCTTGAGTTTCCAAATTCCCTCACCACCAGAAGTTCTATGAAAAGTGCACAGATTTCTCAATAGTTCTCGGAAGACACAAGACTGCGATGCAGACAACTTGGATTCAAACTCCTGCAGTATCTCCCTAGTGCTGGCCTGGCCATCAACGTGGGCCTGGAAAGCAATGAAGTTCCTAATTTCTACCAGAAGGTCATCATGTTCTGTGGTGGGCAGTGAGGCAGAAACCTCTTGCAGGTGCCCGTCATCACTCTCTAACCGCTGTGGCAGAATCAGGTGGTTTCTCGCTCTCATTTTAGCCAAGAGTGAGGATGAAGGGAGGACCTCAGATGAGGATTCTGCATCTTCTGCTGTTCCACTAAAATGCCCAGGGACATTATCTCTTCCCTCCTTTTTCATGATGCCATCCTGGAGAAAGAAGACCACTGCATTGATATATTTAATTTCTAGCTTATGCCCCTCACTTACTTCCCCAAAGGCTGTGAGGGACCAGAAGATAACACACGTGTCAGGGTGGTGAGGCTACTGGGGCAAGGTTGAGACCCCAATCTAACACAACATGAAAGGAGAGGGTCAAACATCTACGTCCACCCGCTCTTAAATAACATTTCCCAAAAATAACAAATATATAAAAAGGAAGGACAACTAAGCCATTCCCTAGGTCAGCATTCTGCATGGTAAGAGCAGAGGGAAGGCAGAGTAGAGGCTTCCAGGCAAGATTTCTGGGTAACCTGCCTCTAGGAGGCCCAGGACTGCCATGCCTGTGGGCTTTTCCTATTCTTCCTCCCAAATGGACCCTGAGCTACACACTGTGGATAAGGAACAATATAACAGTCATACTCCTTTTTCCTTGCTTTTAAATCTTCTTATTCTTCCCTACCTTATACCTAATGTTGAGTTTACTTAAAACAACAACTTTGAAAGGACCTCAAATTCCTAATGATAAAAGCACACAACATGGGAAATCAAAAGGGTTCTTTAATTCTAAAAGTGTTCACAATAACCTAAAATTGGAGTCTGAACCTGGGAGTTTTAACATAATTCTTAACCAGAAAGACCAAAGAGAGAACTGAATGGTGAAGTCTGGTCTAGTTTTATTCACTGAAACACTCAAGGCAATGCAGGGCATTCTAGAACAGGGAGAGATGGGTATTCTGCCTTGGCAGCTAAATTATGGACAACAACATACAAGGTGGTTTTCCAGACCTTCAGTCCAGAAGGCAGTGGTCTCTCAAGCTAATACTTTCCCTCCAGACAGGGCAGGCTGTGCTGGCAGTGACACAGCTATCCCAGTATTAACCTTCTGAGGGCAAAACAGAGAAGCTGCTACAGAACTTGGGATAAAGACTTTGTCTTTTAGGAAGGTGGTTGATTCTTTTAGATTCAAATGTATGTGCATCCTAAATCAAAGCATACAATACAAATATCAGATGTCACTGTGTCACACACAGAAGCAATAACCATTTTCTTCAAGCCAGAATCAGGGAAAATTTTCATAACAATTCAATCAAGCAAGTCTCACCCTGAAAAGCAGAAAGGGTATCATATTACCTGGCACTTATCTGTTGGAGAAGTTGAAGAGAAGTTAGAATTCCTTTTCTTACCAAATCTACTCCTAAATAAGGAAAATAACAGTAGATTAAATGTTTGCTTTTGTTACTTAGAGATCAAAATACTATTTCAACAATGAATGTCTTCCTGGAAATGTTTTCATCTGTATGGTTACTCTTTAACAGCTATGTCATTTCTGCTCTATTCCCTCAATTCCTCCACTTCACTCTCCTGAGAGGTAACTGCTGCATCTCAGAATGAGAACCACTCACTATCTTCATTCAAAATATGATGGAAACCACCCTCAATTCCAGGTAGGAAAATTATTCTAAAAGAGCATACTAAATAGCAGAGTAATTACTGATCATTGTAAATTGGCTAATTATCTTATTAAAGTTTAATCATTATTCAGTATCTCTTGCTATTTTTAACACCATCTCTCAAACAAAACCTTATTCCCCTGAAGTCACGTTGGAAAACAGGAAATGAAAGCAAAGAAGAAATTAAGATTACAATGATATTTCTCCAAGTCACCCAGATTTACTGACACAATCTCTCCCTGAAGGATTTTCTATGAATGCAGATAAATAAGCTTATAAGCATCCACACCAGCCCTGACTTTATTTCTAGCCTTGTTTAACCTCCTTGCAAACACGGTAGGCAGCAATCTCTTACTTTGTTCCTCCTGGTGCACCAGAAATTCCCCTGTGGCCAGTCCAGGTGGGAACACCAGACCCTGCTCCCAGGCACCTCTGACGAGAGAGCCTCAATGCTTTCAGGGCATCCTGGGCCACTCGGTTGGCTTCTGCCTCCACCAGCACATAATCGGGGTTGGCTCCATCCATGATGGCATCATGCTTCAAGACACTGTGCACACCGACTAATGAGAACAGAGGAAACAGCAGAGTGATATTTCAGATTGTACATAAGATACTTTTCTCCTCTATAATAGTCTAGTGTTGTGAGAGACAACAAACAATGAATATTTTTAGTTGCTATTTGCTGAGTGGCTTTAATGACCCAGAAACTTCACAAATGCTGTTTCTATTCACTTTCATCACTACCCTACAGGGTACAGACTATTACTTATCTTTGTTTTATAATATTAATTATTCTCATTTTATAATAATTGAAGCATAATGCCTTAACCTCAACTTTAACATTTAACCTCTTTCCTGCTATCTAGAAGAGACGCAAAAACATTCAATTAATAAACTTTCATGAAAGAAAAATATAAATCAGAATCACAGAATTTCTAAAAAATAATGATAATAAAAACACTATATCTCAGGATCACTTGGATAAATTTAATGCAGTAAAAATTAATAGCTTTGAATACTTACATTGACAAAAATAAATTTCTAAGTAAAAAGTTATAAAAAGAAAAAAGTAACAAAACTCTACCAAAATACAACAAAAACAAAAGCACAAAAAGAAAATAATGAAGATAAAAGTAAAAATTAATGAGTTAGAGGACAAAAATCAAGCTAATAAATCAAAATCCTGATTTGTTGGAAAAAAATCACAAAATAAACAATCCACTAGCTTAGCTTAATATAAAAGAAAAAAATATATAAAATTATAAATGACAGGGGGAAATTACCTTATAAAAGAAGAAAAATTTTTTAAAAATCATTACAAGAGTTTTCTATATACCTGTATGCAAACTTGAAAACTAGACAAAATATTTCCTAGGAAAGCAGACCAGTAACTATAGAAGAAATAGAGAAAGTTATCAAGAAACTGTCTTACCAAAAAAAAAAATCAGGCCCAGTTAGTTTTACAGGACAATTTGTCACCCAGACTGGAGTGCAGTGGCCGCTCCCAGCCACTGTAGACTTGACCTGCTGGGCTTCGGCGACCCTTCTGCCTCAGTCTTCCAAGTAGCTGGAACTACAGGCACACGCTACCACACCCAGCTAATTTTTTGATTTATTGTAGAGATGAGGTCTCGCCAAGTTGCCCAGGTGGGTCTCGAACCCGCGGGCTCAGGAAATCCACTCACCTCAGCCTCCCAAAGCGCAGGATTACAGGCTGAGCCACCAAGCCCAGATTTACAGGACAATTTTTAACAAATCTTCAAAAACCAGACAGTCCCAATGCTTCACAAATTATTCCAGAGAAATGAAAATTAAGGAAAACTTCCAAATTATTTTTATGAAACCGGTACAATATTGATAAATAAACCTGATAAATATACTACACAGAAAACTACAAGCTGGGTGTGGTGGCTCATGGCTGTAATCCCAGTGCTTTGGGAGGTAGAGACAAAAGGATTGCTTGAACCCAAGGGTTTGAGACCAGCCGGGGCAACTTGGCAACACCTCATCTCCACAATAAATAAAAAATAAATAAATAATCAGGTGAGGTAGCGCACACCTGTGGTTCCAGCTACTTGGAAGGCTGAGGCGGAAACATCACCTGAGCCCAGCAGGTCAAGGCTGCAGTGGCTGTGAGCGCACCACTGCACTCTAGTCTGGGCAATAGAGTGAGACTCTGACTCAAAAAAAAAAAGAAAGAATGAAAACTACAGGTCAATATCATTTATGAACATATGAGGGAATACTCAAAAAACGCAGAATTTATACAAAATTGTGTATTTATTCTTACATGTCTAAACTTCAATCACTTTCAAAGTACTATCCATTTGATGCAATACACCGATTGAGACACTTTTTCCACTGCTCAAAATAGTTGAACTCACAAATTTTGATGCCTTGTAGTGTTTCTGCCATTTTTTGTTTCACCTCTTCCACATCAGCAAAACATTTCCCTTTGAGGACTTTTTTCATCCAGGTAAACAAAAAAAAAGTAGGGTGGAACATGGGAGTCATGCTGTTTTCGGTCAAAAACTGCTGAACACTCAGCACGGTGTGGGCAGGTGCACTTGTAAACCACCCATCAAGAAATGGGCAAATGCACTGAAAGACTCTCTAAAAATAATTCACTGAAGCCAAATGCAGCCTCTCCACAACTCTAGCTGATACACTGATGCCACTGGCTTCCTAGAACATTTACTAGTAGGGAAAGCCTGTCCTCCAGAAAATAATTCTGGTTTTTATTTTTTGTCCCCCTAATACACATACACATATATATCAGTCTATTTCCTAGTTCTGTTGGCTAGGAAAGCAGTAACACCCCAGTAGCAATAAACACTCTGAGAACCCAGATTCTAGTTCCTAAATATCATTCTCCAGGGCTCCTTGGAGAAATAGCTAATTTTAGAACTGGAACAGAATAAATACAAGTTGAGCTTGGAATAACTTGGTGTGCCAGGAAGTAAGGAAGTACTCTTCAGAGGGACAAAAGAGCCTGCTTGATGAAACTCTCACTTTGTCTCAAGCAAAGCTAAAACAATGAGTATCACAATGCTACTACTTATGGACTATAGTCATGAAAAAACATCCATCAGTCCAGATAGACAGAGAAGGAAAACCTTCCTCTCAATAGACTTATTAATCACCATTTGACAACCAGTATAGTAGTAACTGATTAAGGAAAGAATCATCAATGGATATTTAGATCAGTGGATAAAAGTTTGTTGAGAAGCAGAATATTTACACAGTCTCAAAGTATATTTCTTCAAAGTATAAATCAATTACAAAGAGAAAAATATTAACTTTAATATTGAGATACCTGGTAGACCTCACCTTAACCCTGTGACGCTAAATGTTAATCTGCAATAAATGCCCTGATAAGAAACAATATCACTTTTATGGTATTTCTGACAAAAATGTATGCATGGATGTACATGTGTGGTAATGACAAAGCAAAAGTGGAAAAATGTTAATAAGGGGTAAAGTATATAGGAGAGTTCTTGCACTAGTTAATATATTCCAGTAAAGCTTGAAATTACTTCAAAATGAGAAATTCACAAAGAAATTTAACCATGTTAAATAAAAGTCTTTGTGATATGCCATACATGAACCTGCTTTCTTAAACTGAGTACCGGCTGGGTGCGGTAGCTCATGCCTATAATCCCAGCACTTTAGGAGGCCGAGGTGAGAAGATTCCCTGAGCCCACAGGTTCGAGACCAGCCTGGGCAACTTGGTGAGCCCTCATCTCTACAATAAATCAAAAAATTAGCTGGGCATGGTGGTACATGCCTATAGTTCCAGCTACTTGGAAGGCTGAGGTGGAAGGATCACCTGAGCCCAGCAGGTCGGGGCTGTGTTGGCCATGAGCATGCCACTGCACTCCAGCCTGGGCAACAGAGTGAGACTCCACTCAAAAAAAAAAAAAAACTGAGTAGCATAAACAGCAGTCTTTGGTAACTCAAGGCCATCATGCTGTCAACACAATGCTAGGTGCTGAGCAAAATGATACTCCCAGGGATGACTAGGCTGTGCGGGGCTATCTGTCCGTGGCCTTAAGTGATTGTTGAGTCTGTCTCCTAGTTTTTCCTCCCTTGATAGTAGCTATCAGCTTTCCTACTTCAAAAAGGCCTGCTTCTAGTCATATTCCTGTCTCTCTACGTTATGATATGTCACTTTAATTTTCTGTGATTGAAAAATCAGATAAATATAACATGTAAAGAAACTACCTATTAAAATTCAAATAGTATATATCTATTTAAAGCATTGTACCCCTTCTATAAGTGGTCATAAGCACTACTGCTTCCCAAAGTTTCCAGTTCTATGTCTCTAGGAAAAAAAGGGTAAATACAATTTTTAAAATGTTAATATATTTTAAATATAAATTTTTGAAGAAAAATACTTGTGGGTAAGAACATACTCTGCACCATCAGTTGAAGGCTACTACTGCGAGAAACAGCCTACTCATCTTCTGTTCCTAGGATTCCTATGACAAATGCATCAAAAGAATTACCTGATTTTTTAAAAAGCTTTTCCAAAACATAATCATCATTGCTCTGTTCCTTGACCTCACTCTTGTTTTCACTGTCTTGCTTCTGATACTGCCTTTTCTTCACGAGGTGTGGAATTCGAGTTCCTTCAAACTTGGCATCTCTATGATGCTTAGAGTTCTTAGGCTTTTGCTTTGGTCTCAGATGTTTCTCCAAGGTCTCGTCTTCTGCCACACTGTGATGTTTTGTTTTTGACTTGTGCTTATAAAAATTATTTTCTGTTTGTTCATTCTCCCAAAGAGGTTCTATTTGAACCTGGCAGTTTTCTCTTTTGTAAGAAAGACCCTGCTTTTCATCGATGCTTTCCTCACCAGGTGGCCTGGATGTTTTGCTAATTCTTGGAGAATCGGAACATTCCCCCTTTCCATTAATCACTGATGACTCCGCTGGTCTAGACCCTGTGTTTGTCTCTTCTCCAAGCCTGTCATTGTTAGTTACATTACTACTCGTGTGAGGGTTATCTTTCAAAGGATCACTTTGATTAGAAGTTATGGTATTTATTTCAGCTCCTATAGCCTTAGATTTCTCTTCAGATGACATGGCATCATTTGCAGATGCATCAGAACCAGGGAACTTTTTGTGTTTTGGAACATCAGGGTCTATTTCAAAGGTTGGTTGACTCTTTTTTTTAAAATGGCGTTTGGGTGCCTGAACATCTGAACCAGTTCCTGTAAAGAGGAAAAACACAGCTAATATTATATATTATAATATAATCTTATATAATTGATTACTTTAAATTAAATGATTTTATGTTATACCTGCAAAAATAGCACTTGTTTCAGTACTCTGGGATACATCGGGGCTAGTCAGAGTAAAGAGCTCATAAAGATCATTGGATTTGAAAAATCTTCTTTGCTTTGGGTCTTTTAGCACTCTATTTGTCAAAAACTGCTTGAAGATCTGTCTAAAGAGATAAAAATTAAACCAGTATGAAAAAATGTGTAGCTCTACCTCAACATTCAAGTTGTAAAACAACATAAGATATGATAACAGCAGCTGCACAAAGGACCAAACTTTTAGTCTTGGAAAATTATAATTCAGGAAGTATAGTAAGTCCCCTACATATGAATGAGCTCTGTTCCAAGAGTGCACTCATAAGTCTAATTTGTTCATAAGTCAACAAAGTTAGCATAAGTACCCAACTGACACAATCAGTTATATAGTACCAGCACATCACCACTGCTTTTAGGTTTGCTCCTGTACATTCTGGGCTTGAAATAAAGATACTGTACTCTATACAGTACTGTACAGTAAAGTACACAAAAGCATAACCACTTGTAGAGGATGTACGTATGTGACAATGAACACCAGACACTTACGTGACTGGACATGTGAATGCATGTTTGCATCTTTGAAAGTTCACAACTTGAAGGTTCGTATGTAGGGGACTTACTGTATATAATATCAGTTGATCTCTCATGTTTTACAGAATTTAAATTAAAAATAGTACCTTATCATTTACACCCAGTGAGCTTTCTCATCCTCTAAGATCCATCAAGAAACATCTTTTCACATATCTTCATGTGATTCACAACATCTCTGAGCTGCAAGGAGTTGCTCTCCCTGACTCATGGACCAAGAGTTCCCTGCCCTGTCCTGCCTAGGACCCTTCTGTGAATAGAGCTCGGGAAATTCTCTTTTCTGGACTTTGTAACATTTTCACTCTGTCCTGACTCCCCCAGCTCCACTTGCTGGTCCACACTCTGCTGAAGCCTCAGGCCATCATCATTTTTGCACAGGTATCTCCAAAGAGAAGCTGTCCTTCTCCGCCACTTATTGTTCAGGCTAAAGTGTGTGTCTCTAAGAGGAGTTCTCCTCTCACAGGATTCATCTCATCTCCTACCCTCTCACAACAGGCCCTTGAAAAACACATAACACTCCAAGAGTAGCCCAAGACACAGTAGAGAGCAGGGAGTCTCCTTTAAGAACTGGGCTATGGCTTACTACAGTCTTTGGTGAGAAATGGGAGAAGCTGGCAATGTCTTGACTTTATTGTAGAATACACCATTGCTTAAAATCCCTTCGTCATTATACACAAAGACAGAGGAAGAAACAGGTGTCCTGTCAACCTCTAAGGGACACCTGAGTCAAAACCACCAGGCCACCCACACTGATCCCACCTGCATGGTACGTGCAAATGCCAAATATGTTACCATTCAATTTTGCCACTCTTTAAAATGTTTCTGAAAGTGGTATTCTACAGTAGGTAGAAACATTTCTCTCAGATAATAATTAATATTAAGTTTACATATAAGCAGTCCTTGAAGTAGAATAAAGTACAAAAATACCAGGTTCAAGTCATTTTTTAAAAACTCACAGAAAGCCACCTAAGCTTATTGTAACAGGAAAGAAAAAGTACAATTCAAAAACAAAAAAACCCCTATATTCCTTAAGTTATAGCAACTATTACTCTAAGATAAAAACACTTTTTTCTTTTTTGAGTCAGAGTCTCATTCTTTCACCCAGGCTGGAGTGCAGTAGCACGCTCATGGCCACCACAGCCTCAACCTGCTGGGCTCAGGAGACCCTTCTGCCTCAGTCTTCCAAGTAGCTGGAACCATGGGCACGCACCACCATGCCCAGCTAATTTTTTTGTTTATAGTAGAGATGAGGTCTTGCCAAGTTGCCTAAGCTGATCTAGAACCTCTGGGCTCAGGCAATCCTCTCGCCTCTGCCTCCCAAAGTCCTGGGGTTACAGGTGTCAGCCACCATGTCTGGAATTAAAATAACTTTTTCAAACAACACTTGAAAAAAATTCCTGCTCAAAACTCTGGGCATGCAGAGTCAAGAGCAGCCACACTGACCGGTGGTAGATCTTTTCTTCAATGGTACCCGCAGTCAGGAGTCTGTACACAGTCACCTGCTTCTTCTGGCCTATTCTCCATGCTCGCTCCCGGGCCTGCAGAAGAAAAGAGACATCTCAACTAGAGCTCTTCCCAGAGACAAGAGGCGACTGAAAAAGAGACAGTTGGTTCCTTCCTCTTATTCCCTGAGTTAGAATTTTTTCTAATGAGGTCAAGTATACATAAGGCCTACTAAGTAAAATAAGCAGCTAGTTGACAAAAACAGAACTGAGATATCTCTACCTAAAAAATGCTTGCAACTTTGCACATGCTCTTTTACTCCAAATCTAGGAATAGATGCTATGAAACTAGAAATTCAGCTATAAATTGTTGAAGACTGTTTCTGTCCATGTGACTCTGAAGGCTGTCTTCTTTCATGCTGCAGAATAGGAAATAACCAAAATGTGAACTGTACACTGAAGCCAACTAGAACATCAAAGGACAATCACAAGTGTTAACCATGAAACTATATTTCTACAAATTCATTTTTAAAGTAAAAAACAGACCTGAGTGTCTGTGCTTGGGTTCCAGTCGGGGTCATAGATGATGACTCTGTTTGCCCCTGTTAGGTTGACACCTATGCCGCCCACCCGAGTGGTCAGAAGAAACACAAATATAGATGTGTCCTAGAGGCAAGATACACAGCGCTTAACAGGCACATTTAAGACTAGTTATGGCTCTTCACCTCTGCCTTCACAGAGTCTACTTGTGGAGCTATCAGGCTGTTCCCAATACAAGCAATAGTTGTGTTCTAGAGGCTTTTGGTGATTCAAGATCTCATCTCACAGCTCTTACTTTTAATATTAATTACATTAGCAATATTTAAAAATTGGGTTTTCAAGAAGGAAAACACATTTTGTGGAAAACACATTATTTGTTTAAACACACACAACACTCATGCACATACTCCAAATGCACACAGAGTTACAAGCAAAAAGTCCCCATCATCCCCTATCCATGTTCTGATGTGAGCATTACTCAGGTGGGTGCAGGTGTAGATACGCTCATGATTTTCCCTCCACATAGAGTACTAGATAAAATGGTCTAGCATCATTTGATTTTCCTGTTATATTTACTTGTTACCTCATTGTATCTTGTAATCAGTGGCTGTCTTGAAGCTATTGTAGTGGTACCATCCATCTTGAGATAGGAATACTTCCGTGCTCTAAGGAAAACTTCAAGTATGTGCAGCATCTGTTTGGAGGGGGGAGATAAGAGTTTGAAAATCAAATACACACTCCCAGTGAGTGCTCCCTATTGTGTAAATGGTCACCCCAACAGGCCTATGCTAAAAGAAGCTTCTTGCTTTAAGGCAGATAAACAGAACTGCTACAAGAGTATTTTTGGTATTTTCTTACAACTTTTGTAAATAGCTTGTGCTCAGGCCCAAACTCACCTGCATACCAGAATCACATGGTAAGCTTCCTTAAAGAACCAACTTCTGGACACCATCCCTAGAGAAAGATCCAAACTCCCAAACAAACCTGCAGGCTGCCTCAGCATCAGTGGTATTTGCTTTGCAATCATCATTTTACATTAAATCCTATTTTTTTGAATTAATGGTCATAAGTCATAAAGAATCTGTTTCTTGTATGAAGTGTGTTACACTCACCTGTCTTGACTGAGAAAACAGCAATACTCGTTGACCCTGTTTGTGCCATATTTTCAACAAAGACTCAACAACAATCATTTTCCCAGAACGTTTCCAGTATCCAAACTGATCTTCTTCTAGTTCGTCATCTGGAAGACCTTTGAGATTTTTGGGACCTCCAGAAAAGAGATCAGGGTGGTTGCAGATTTTTCTTAAGGCTACAAGTCCAGAGAAAATCTATGATATGAAAGAATATATGTACACTTAGATTACCTTATGTAAAATAATATTTTCTCAGGAAGGAAAGGAAGGACACAGATTATAAAGTAATTCTTCACCAGCTTCTTAGTTTCTCCCCTAATCACTCCATCATGAGAAGCTGGGAGAAATTAACTTCCACTTACTTTCTTTCCCTGACAGGAAAAAAATCTCTGGAAACAAAAAAATTATATTGGGACTATATCTATAGGGGTCATATTCAATTGCTGATAATTCATTTTCCGTCACTAGAAAAAAGGCATACAGTTCACAACATTATAAATTTAATATAAAAAATGGACTAATCTTTTAAATAAAGATCAGAAATGTCATACTAAACTTGGAGAAATCAGTCACATGAGTTATCAAATGCATTTAAATATTACATTCCTAAGTACCTCACTAAAAGCTCTGCAGTTTAAAATATATGAGTCAGAGACTGAAGTTCCATTTACCTTTACACTATTATTATATCAGAAACAAATCTGCATAAGAAATGCACAAATGGTCAGCCGGGTTCGGTGGCTCAGCCTGTAATCCCACGCCTTTGGGAGGCTGAGGTGAGTGGACTGCCTGAGCCTGCGGGTTCGAGACCCACCTGGGCAGCGAGACCTCATCTCTACAATAAATCAAAAAATCAGCCGGGCGTGGTAGTGCATGCCTGTAATTCCAGCTACTTGGAAGGCTGAGGCGGAAGGATCGCCGGAGCCCAGCAGGTCAAGCCTGCGGTGGCTGGGAGCGGACACTGCACTCCAGTCTGGGTGACAGAGTGAGACTCCAACTCAAAAAAAAAAAAAAGAAATGCACAAATGGAAAAGATGTGCAAGATGGTTGGTTTATGCAGCAGAAGGGCACAGGAGGCCAGGGGTGAGTGTCCTTATTCGCCCCTGCATGAGGGTGTTAACAAAACTTGGAATAAAGGGGCTCTTTCACAGTTTTTAGAAAGTGAATGAAATCAAACTCATAGTATAAAAATCTGAGTAGAAAAAGAGAAATAATAAATTAAACCAATAATAAAAGTGTATGATAGTCATAACTAATAAACAATGGCTAAACAAATAAATCAAAAAAGATGTGAACAAATCAGGAACACTGCCAAAACTCCCCAAAGAATCATCTATAACTCATTTTTTCCTTCAGAGCTGCACTGTCCAACACAGTGGCCACTAGCCACATGTGGCTACTGAGCACATGAAAGGTGGCTAGTGCAAATTGAAATGCACAGCAAATGGAAAATACATACCCAATTTCAAAGACCTAGCACAATAAAGTAAAATAGCTCATTAATTATTTTTAAATTTTGATTACATATAAAAATTGTATCTTGAACAGATAAAGCTAAATTTTAAAAAATGACCAAAATTAATTTCCCCTGTTTTTCTTTTTCCCATTTTAAATATGAATACTGGAACATTTACAATTACAAGTGTGGTTCGCATTCTCTCTCTATGGGACCTGAAGATGTTAAAGGGAAATTCAGGGGGATGAATAAATGTGAATGTCTGAAAAACCTCCTATAGTTACCAATGATAGATGAAATAAGAAACTGTGAGAGATGGTTACAAAAACTGAAATGATTTAATCTTGAAGAAAAAGCATCTGGATGTCTTGAACACAGGCAGCCACGTCAGCCAATGCATCTCTTTATCTAGCATGTCAGAGTAGACCAGTGTGGATCACAGAGTATACAGTGCTACTTGGCTGTGCTCCAATGAGGATGGAGCAAGGACTGCAGGCACAAAGGTCAATGTAGATTAAGACCACAAAAGCATAAGCTTGCTGAAGGAAGGCCTGATTACTCAACAGACTGGCTTCCTATGGTTCACTTTGAAAGCACCTCACAAAGACAGCTCTGCCCAGGATGACAGAAAAAAGGGCATAGACTAGGTAGCTGCACAGTTTCTTTGGCCCTAGGAAACTTTCATGTAAATCAGTGAGACACAACTCACAGGTTAAGATACTGATTAACAAAGAAGGAGAAGAGTTTACCTGAAGCTTTAGACTAAATGCTGATTATAAACCTACTACATAAGCTTACCAGATAGACACATACCCACATTGGTGCTAAGTACTACCAATAGCTAAAATGCTATTACTTACAGAAAAATTTATAAAAATGATTCTTCCTCAGTGTGCCTGCTCACCCAAGCAGTCTGTGGCTATCTTTCTACATTTTATATGGGATCACCAGTCCCTGCAGGGTTCATCAGTGCAGATCCTATCATTTAGTGCTGTTCTTCCACTAGGTCACACAGTGGGAGTCAAGTATGACAGTTAATACAGTACAAATGAAAAGGGAGCATGATACAATTTAACCATAAGTTCTCTTACTCGTGGTAGGGCTTCAATTTCAGTTAAGGTTCTCACTGAAATGTTTTCTAGAGGGGCACAGTTATCCATGTAACCAAAAACCATTTGCACCCCCTAAAGCTATCAAAGTTTTTTAAAAAGTGGGGGACAGAGAATCCCTGACCCAGTGGCAGCACATGCACGTGCTATCTGAGTAAAACGACACCCAGTTTCCAGCACATGAGCCTTGGCCAGCCCATACTTCCATCAGCTATGTAGTCCAGCAGGTCATTCTCACTTATGATACCAGCAGACACTGCAGTGGCACAAATGTTCCTCCAGAAAGCCAAATTCTATCACACATTATTTATATAGCAGGATTTACCAGAGAAGAACACTATTTAGTAACTTCTGAATTCTGGACACTGGTAGAAAGACAGCTTTCTCAGTATTGGAAGGAACAGAATGACCATAAATAAATTTCTTTCATACACTGGAGACAATGAGAATTGGAATGAAACTGAATTATATCTGGTTTCTAACATGGTAGGGGGTTATAAATATTTATGGGCGCATGGGAATCCTTAAGAAGCTGATGAGGCCAGGTTGGGTCACTCAGCCTGTAATCCCAGCATTTTGGAAGGCTGAAGCGAGTGGATTGCCTGAGTCCACGGGTTCAAGACCTGCCTGGGCAACTTGGTGAGACCTCATCTCTACAAAAAAAATAAAAAATAAAAAATAGCCGGGTGTGGTAGCATGCATCTGTAGTGCTGGCTAAGCGGAAGGCTGAAGTGGAAGGATTGCTGGAGCCCAGAAGATGCTGGGGTGGCCATGAGCGTGCGTGCCACTCACTCCAGCCTGGGCGAAAGAGTGAGACTCCAACTCAAAAAAAAAAAAAAAAGAAGCTGATGAAACTTATGAATCCTCATGATCTTCTCCATATAATATTGCTCATAATTTCTTGGAAAACCCAGTTAAGTAACTGACACCCACTCATCTTCCAAGTAAAATCCTTGGGGGTAACAGGAACAGCACGGTCTTGTGGTTACATTGGCATCTGGGATCAGCTCTAACAACTCACAGCTCTGCAACCTCCCACCAGTTACCTAAGTCCTCTGCATCTGTGTCTCCAAGCTTACGCTGACTCTGTAGCTACTGTGCGGGACTATATGTGAGTAGACTGAGATGACATTACGTGAAAAGCCTGGCTCATTCTAGATTCTAGTTTCCTTTCCTCCCCCACTCCCCTTGGTCTACAAATCATTTCTCCAGCTTCTACCTGCATCTCTCCATTGAGAATCCTGTAAACTTCTTTGGAATCAATGAAATTTTGGTAGACTTTATGCTGTTCATCTGTAAGACGGCAAAATAAGACCTACAGGGAAAAACAACAACAACAAAGAAACTATAATTTCAAAAAAATAATAATAATAATTAAAATACCAACTAAATTTCCTAATCAAAAGAGCATAATACATACAATTTTAATAATGTACCTCTTATTAAAACAACAAAAGACAAATACCTGTCAAGACTGAACAGAGCACAGTCCCCTTGTCCACCAGCCCATCTCTGTCAAACATCCACCTCCTGGCCCTGTCCCACTGCCCAACAGTCCCTGAAGACTGGCTTCCTGCTCACCAGTAAGTTCAGGGCCCAGGTACAAAGAGCATCCTTCAGGCTAGCCTCAGTGTGCTGGGACCACCCCTGCTCCCATGACGCTTGCTCACACTCTATTCAGCAGACCTAACCAGGGACCCTAACCTTTCCTTTTCCTTGAGCCCTAAGTGCAGGCCCCCAGGTTTACCAGACTTGCCTCAGACAGCAACATTTACCCTCCCAGCCCACTGTACCAACTACTCTGTGACACCGAGCCCTCTAATTTGCTGTCTGCCAACTCTCCTCTTTTTCCTCTACCACCACCATGTGACTTGACTTTCTTCCTTGGTCAGTCATATTCCCATAGGATGTTCCTTCAGCCATCCCTCTGTCACCCATGTGACCCCTCTTCAATCTCTGCATCTACCCTGTAAACTTCTAAATGTGGATCAACTCCCATCTGACTTCTCCATTCCCAGGGTCAGTGCTGGGCACTGCTGGAGAACAGCACCCACCTGGCAGCAACCTGTCACTGCCTCTCCTGCTCCAGGGGATCCTCCACATACACCCTGCCCACAGAACATTCAGGTTTGTTGACATTCCTTGTGACCCAGCTTTGTCTCAACCTCTACTTAAAAACATTCAAACTAGGCGGAGCATGGTGGCTCACGTCTATAATCCCAGCATTTTGGGAGGCAGAGGTGAAAGGATTGCCTGAGCCCACAGGCTCGAGACCAGCCTGGGAAACTTGGTGAGACCTCATCTCTACAATAAATCAGAAAATTAGCCAGGCGTGGTGGTGCGTGCCTGTAGTTCCAGCTACTTGGAAGGCTGAGGAGGAAGGATCAAATGAGCACAGCAGGTCAAGGCTGCGGTGGCTGTGAGCGTGGGCGACAGAATGAGACTCCAGCCTGGGCGACAGAGTGAGACTCCAACACACACATACAAAAAAAAATTCAAACTAAAAACAATTTGGGAGGCAGAGGCAAGAGGACTGCTTGAGCCCAGGAGTTCGAGACTAGCCTGGGCAACTTGACAAGACCTCATCTCTACAGTAAATCAAAAAAATTAAGCAGGCATGTTGGCACATGCCTGCAGTTCCAGCTACTTGGAAGGCTGAAGTATGAGCATGCCATTGCACTCCAGCCTGGGCAACAGAGCGAGACTTCAACTAAAATACATACATAAATAAACAAATATAAAAACAAAACAACAAAAATCAAACCTGAAGGTACCAGAATCAGGCATGATTCCCTAATTTTTACTCCCTAAAATATCTACTTCTGTATCTACCTCGTCTCATTTTTCTTTATCCCAGAGGGAAAGGTTCCTGTACAGGAACAAGGGCAACCCTTCAACCTTTACACCGGGTATGAAAACCCACTCTTCTTCCTCAGGACAGTGTTCCAACCTAGACTCTCCAGAAGTTGGAAGTGGGGAGTCTCCAGGAGAACAGCATATAATCCTCACCTCCAGTTCCTTACATCCAATCCTGAAGCCCATACTTGGCACAAGCCTGATGGGCACCACCAATGATGCCACTGAGGCAGCTCCGGATGTTGTCACTAATTACTTTCTAGCTGCCAAACACACCAGGTCCTTCCCACTTCTCCTCACCCACCTGCCTATCTGCCTTGGCTGTCTCAGTCTTCCCAGCAAGCTTCTCATCTTCTACCCTCTCCATACATATTGCTGTTCCTCTGGGCTACTCATCTCTTCTCATTCTACACGTCCTCCTTGGGCAAAGCTATTCCTGTTCAGGACTGTCACACTTTCCTTGTTCATAGTTCTTAGCTACAGCTCAGCCTAGAACACTCCTCAGAGTTCTAGACCCATTTACAATGGCCTCTTGGACAAATAGAGGACATAGAGTCACTTCAAATATATCCTAAATTACACTCACCAGCTGTCCCCTCCAAGCCAATCTGTCCTTTTGAAGCCTCTGCTGTGGCAGATCCATCCCAGTGTCTAAGAGAGAAACCTAGGAGGCACCAGGCCTCTGGCAAGCCCCATCCTTGGTTCAGGTCAGCCACCTCTTATCTCCAGTTAACTCATCTTTTTGTCTCCATTTTCTTTCCCTTCCAGTATTTTCACACACTTTCCAAATAATCTTTCTAAAACATAAGCCTGAGGGGTTTATAATTCTTAATTTCTTAAATGCATATCTTAGTCCACTAAATACAATGGACAAAAGGGAAAAAGCCTTTTTTGTCAAATGCAATGTTAAGTGAGCAAGTTATTTACCAGGTACCTAGTCCCTGTAAATCATCGTGTCAGGTGTTACAAGGGATGTTCAGAAGTGTAAAACAAATTCTCAACCACCAGGAGTTTCTAGTCTAATAGAATCTGCTAAGATCTTAAAATGGAACTTCTCCATGTGTGTTTGCTGGAGTGGAGCAAGTATGACAAAACCTTCAGGTGGAGGAGACATTATATGCAAATGGAAAGAAAAATGGTATGTGTTTGGAAAACAGAATTAATGTGGCTTGGTTACAGCACAGAATACAAGAAAAGACATTCTGGGAGCAACAGCGAAACTAAGTTGCTATAAATAAGCTAAATGAGTATTCTTAAGCAGAGGGTGGGGAAAGGGACAGTACAGGCATGTTGGTAAAAAGACAAACCTTGGGAAAAGTAATCCAGCAACAACATGCAGTACTGAATGCAGGAGGCCAGGTACCAATGCACTAATTTAAGAGGAAAGCCATGGAATGTAAGACAGACTTGAGAATGAGAATGAAAAAGGACACATAAGATCCCAGAGCAACTGGCTGATTTAGAATTAGAGACAGTTCAGAGAATTGTGGCCTGAGGAACAAGCAGGAAGGGGAGGGGAATGCAGAGGTAAAGAGCTACATTTGAAGATGAGTTCTGGAGGAAGGGAAGAGGCAGGGATGAAAGTAGCTTTGATGACAGATTCCCAAGATCCTTTAATTTTTCAACATTGAGAATCTACAATGCATTTACTTTTAGGTGCTGAGTAGGAGGTATAGCTGCCTCTTAAGATATAGAATACTAGGGTGGAATTTAAGAGGATGAGCCTTTTAACACCTGAGTCAGATGACATCACTCTCCTGCTCACTATCTTCCCATGAATTTCCTCTCTTGGTACCTAGTCTCTGGCTGGCAATCTGACTTCCTCATTTATTGTCCTCCTCCTGCTCACAGCTCCAGCCATGCGGGCCTTTCTGCTGGTCGGTGGACATCCCAGTGAACTGCCACAGTCTACCACCTGGAAAGTTCAGTCTCCAAAACCCATATAACTCACTCTACCTTCTTTAGGTCTCTGCTCAAATGTTAGTTTATCAGAGGTCTTCTCTGACCATCCCTTATGTATTGTGGCAACTCCAGGCCAGGGCGCCGGTGTAATGTTCACCTATTTCAAAGAAATCAAGCCGGGCTCGGTGGCTCAGCCTGTAATCCCAACGCTTTGAGAGGCTGAGGTGAGTGGATTGCCTGAGCCCGTGGGTTTGAGACCTGCCTGGGCAACCTGGCGAGACCTCATCTCTACAATGAACCAAAAATTAGCCAGGCATGGTAGTGTATGCCTGTAGTTCTAGCTACTTGGAAGGCTGAGACAGAAGGATCGCCGGAGCCCAGCAGGTCAAGGCTGCAGTGCCCAGGAGCGTGCCACTGCACTCCAGCTCGTTTGGGTGACAGGGTGAGACTCCAACTCAAAAAAAAAGAAATCAGCCAGAGGACAGGCTGGTAAAGATATGGGTTTATTATTACTTATGGGAGAGAACTGATAGCGGCTGGTCAGTACAAAGCTCTCCACATGCCAACAGATGTGGGGAGATTACACAGCCCCAGAGTGGGAAAGGGAGCAAGAAACAGCAATAGCATTAAGTATCAAGAAACAGAAACCAAGATGTTTACTCTCAGAAACTGCCTTGAATTCACAGATGTGCATATCTCCAAGGGTATTTCAACTGGACACAGACAGTCTTGACCAGGGGCCAGTCTCCAAGTCAAGAAAAATCATCACCAGGGGAGGGGGAACAGGGCATATGTCCTGCATTTACTCCATATCTTATCAAAGGCCTGTTTCCCCAAATCCTTGTCCTTAGTATTTCTGGATTAGACCTCAACTCTGCTTCATTTTCCTCTACATGATATCTTCTATACTTACTTGTGACTCTTCCCTTCAAAATTAAATGTGACTTCCACAAGAACAAAACTTGCTTTGTTCACTGCTAGATTTCAGAGCTGAGAATGATGCCAGCTGAGAATGATGCCAGGCTAGCACCTATTACAATTTTAGTGAGAATAAATCGCAGGCTTGAGAAAAATGGAGACATTTAAGAAGAGCAGTTGTAGAAACTCATGTGTTAGTAAGAGGGAGATAAAGCCTGTGGACTAGAAGAAGAGTCCAATGAGGGCAGATGCCATAGCAGGCTCACCTGCCCCACATGGGTGCATGCAGCTGAGGACCAGCCTGCTCACAGCTCCAGGATGACATCTGTCAGCCTCATCACATCCTCTTGCCTGAACTGGAGAATCAGAGTGAAGGGGCAGGCACACCTATACTTTAGAAAAGCTTTGTTCACTCCTGGATTTACAAACCTGTTCATTTTTATCCGGCAAAGAAAGGCTCATCTTGACATCTGACTTCATTCTCCGCAGTAGGTATGGATTTATTGTATCTCGTAAGACACATGCACACTTATAAGCAGTTTTAACCTTTAATAAGAGCAAAGGGAAAAACATTACTGTATGTTTAAGGAATGCATTTGTTCTTACCTTTCTATTGACTCTATTGTTTAAAAAATTGTTTAAAAAATAAAAGAATGACCAACACTTGAATAAAATTGGTAGGAAAATGGTTTCTAAAAACCAGAATAAGTTCCATATAATCCAGGAGGTAGTGGCTTTCATAATAATATCATCAGTAAAAATTTATCTCATTAACTATAATGTACAACAAAAGAAAAACTGATAATTTTGTGCCTTATTCCTCTTCTATATTTTGCTCAAATTATTATGATATAATTAAACCCTAAAGTAGAGATTTACTTGGTTCCTGACCACCCTCTAGGGGAAAAACTGCTTTTTACAGATCTGTTTATAATCTTGTATTCTCCAAAAGCTACAAAGGAACTCTGCGAGATTGAAGATTAAAGCTAACTCTGGGGAAAAACCACATCCATGGGAGCAACCAGCCAATAATCAGAGATTACTGCCCACTGGAGACTTAAGAGAGTAGGTTCAAGAAAAGTCCTCTGATCTCAGAAACGAAAGGTCACTCTGCCCTAGAATGGAGCATATGGTTCCATAATGGAGCTGGTCACATGAGATGTTTACTAACTATACACAGAAAAACAAAGACCCACAGCCCAGGAAACCACACCTTCTGTAATTCACTTACAGGCAAACAAAGAATTCCATAAATTATTGATACTTACAAAAAAAATCTAAATAGGCTCAACAACTAGTAAGTTACTATTTCACAGAAAAAAAATTCCAACCAAAGTTTAAATTTAAGAAAGTGAGCTGTAAAATGAATGATAATTAAGAAAGCTTGACCATAATACTCAAGCTTAAAATAATTAACACGCTAAAAAAGAAAACATTTTTAAAACACTCTAAGAACACCTCACTCAAGTCTATACACATGCATATATATGTATATGTTATGTGAATGTATGTGCATAAATATAAAAAGAGGTTTTTCCAGCCTGGTATTGGTACAAGAACAGGCTTATAGACCAATGGAACAGGATAGAGATTCCAGGAATAGAGCCTCAATTTCTCAATCAACTTATCTTTGACAAAGCCTCCAACGACAACCACTGGGGAGAGGAGAACCTATTCAGTAAATGGTGCTGGGAAAACTGACTGATCACATGCAGAAGACTGAAACAGGACCCCTAACTATCACCATAAACAAAAATTAACTCTAAATGGACCAAAGACCTAAGTGTAAAACCTCAAACTATAAAAATGTTAGAAAATGCAGGAGACACTCTTATGGAAATTGGAACTGGCAACCAATTCCTGATCAGAACCGTAAGTGCCCATACCATAAGAACAAAGATAGAAAAGTGAGACCTCATCAAACTGACAAGCTTCTACGAAGCAAAAGAAACCATCAAGAGAGCAGGGAGACAGCACACAGAATGGGAAAAAAATATTTGCCAACTGTATATCTGACAAAGGCCTAATCTCCCATCTACAAGGAACTCAAACATGCCAAAAGGAAAAAATCAAACAGCCCCATTAAAAAGTGGGCAAAAGCCGGGATCGGTGGCTCAGCCTGTAATCCCGCGCCTTTGGGAGGCTGAGGTGAGTGGATTGCCTGACCCTGTGGGTTCGAGACCCACCTGGGCAGGTGAGACCTCATCTTTACAATAAAATCAAAAAAATTAGCCGGGCTCAGTGGCTCAGCCTGTAATCCTGTGCCTTTGGGAGGCTGAGGTGAGTGGACTGCCTGAGCCCGCAGGTTCGAGACCCGCCTGGGCAGCGAGACCTCATCTCTACAATAAATCAAAA